AATATTGGAGGCCTAATGATCAAATTAAAGTAATACCTTAATATTATGATAATATTATGATGAATAGAAATTAAAATAATACTTACTGATTTTTTTTGTAGCATTGCCACGGATGTAAGAAAAGTTTTTCGGCTACGTCAACCAAACATCATTGTCGGAATTGCGGTGAAGGATTCTGCGAAAATTGTTCATCTCATTATATGCCCGTGCCCAAATACGGTTGGAACGAACCCGTTCGAGTTTGTACCAATTGCTATAATACAAATAAAAATATTAAAATTTCACAGTCTTCTGGTGATGCCGCAGTAAACGACATTCGTGCTAGAAAATACGGGGAAGCAGTAATTAATACATTGTCTTCTGTTGCCAACGTTTTCGAATATCCAAAAGGTTATTTATAAACACATCATTTTAAAAAGTTAAAAAAAAAAAAAAAAAAATTTATTACCAGAGTAATTGAATTTTCGTTTCAGAACTGATTAAGGATAAAGTAAGGCCGTCCTATTGGATACCAGACGATGAAATAACAAATTGTTGCGTGTGCAAAGCTCAATTCGACGTGAATTTAAGTCTTCATCATTGTAGAAATTGCGGTCGTGGAGTTTGTTCAAAATGTTCTGGAAATAAAAAACCTGTACCTAAAAGAAATTGGGAAAGTCCCGTTAGAGTCTGTGACGAATGCTACGTATTAGAATAAAAAAATAATCATCAATTAAATAATAATAATAATTTATAAATAAATGTAAGACATTAAATTTTACATATAATCAAATGTAAAAAAAAAAAAATAACCGTATTAGTATAATTATTATTATTATTATTATTTTCAGGTATATAAAATATATAAAGTATTCGAAAATATCAAAATTTCTGTTTTTTTTTTTTTGAGTTAAAGATAATCCGTATATTCAAAATGATTTGTTTAATTATTTATTAATCAATAATAGAAAAATAGGAAACGGAAATATGTATATACTTATTATTATTATTATTACATATAAATATTATTTGTAAGAAAATAATAATAATAATAATAATTATTATTATTATTATTATGGATTTACGAGGTGTTAAATTAATTTTTATAGATTATCTCGTAAAAATTATTATTATTATTTTGAATTTAAAAAATTTTTTATTATTACCGTTGTATAAATTTTAAAAGTTTTTATTACTTGTTATGTAAAAAAAAAAATTTTTTTTTTATTATTTGTTTATTGTTTATACATATAAATTAATTTTATTTTTCTATTATTATTATCATTTTCTTCATTTTTTTTGTTTATAATAAATTTAATAATAATGTTAATAATTTATAGAGATTTAATTTTTATCGGTTCGTTCTAAAAAAAAAAAAAAAAATTTGTTATGAATTTTTTTTTTTAAATATATATAAATAAATAAATGAATGATTTATTAAATTATTTAACGTCATTATTATTATTATTATTTTATTTAAATATTAATAAAAAATTGATAACGACCAGATACAGATGATTAGTATAAAAAATCACCATCCATATAAAAATTAAATGTAATGAATTTATGAAATTATTATTATTAATAATTTGTTTCAAGGTTTAAATTAATTAAATAAAGTAATACAACCATTTTTTTTTTACAAGTAAATATAAGCAGAAGACCTAATTATATTCGATGATGATGATGATGATAATGATTTGTGTGTTAAAGGTCATTTTATGTAAAAGTTCATTGATTAATAATGACTAAACAAAATTTTTTCTAGTTAATTATTTTTTTTTTGCCAAAGCAAGTTATTATTATTATTATTCAGGTCTGATACTTTTTTTTTTGTTCTCTTCCTGTGAGCTTATAAAATATCCAATTTGTGTATTAATCGATTTGTCAAATTCTTTTTCATACCTGGTAACATCAGGTTATTATTCAAGGTTACCCAGTTGGCTGTGCTTCAAAGTTAAAAATTGCGCATTTAATTATTATTATTATTATTATAAATTTTCCAACTATTAATAATAATGATAATAATAACAACACTTTTTTTTTAATTTGACCTTTTAATTTTAAGTTTATGATAATGATTATTTGGAAAAGAAGAAAGAAAGAAAAAAAAATTAAAAGTAACACATAATAAATAAATAAATAAATAAATATAATTTTTTTTTGTTTACAAATTGATTATTATCATTATTAATTTATTATTTTGTCACATTTTATTTAAATAAAATAATTTTATAATTATTTGATGGTCATTTTCCTTTTTTTTTCTCTTTAAAAAAAAAATTTTATTAATAAGGTTGAAGGCTATCAAAA